CCCCCCCATTCTTCAGGAGGCGCTCAAAGGCTTGCTCGCTTCATCCAGCACTGACCTCAAGTCTGGCATGGGAACCCTTGAGGTTTCCGGCAACAATTCGTGAGGCACCGATCTTGATGGTGGATCAGCTATGTTGCACTCTGAAGGCACTCTAGCGTACCGTGGCAAAACGAACAACTCCTCTTCGACTTTGGCGAGGTGGTGCACGATGTTGCAAAGAACCGGGTTCTTGGAATACCCCTTCAAAATCAAATACCTTGCAGCTTCATTGTCAATGAAGCACAACAAATGCTTGGGCCGCACCAGGTCCTGCCACACTCGGAAAGCAACCAGGACGACAAAGGCTTCAAGTTCTCCAATCGCCTGCTCCTGATCCTCAGCCATGAAGGATTCACAAAAGTCGCGGCTTGCTTCTCCACCAAACCAGCTCACTACACAACCAGTCTGATCGATCAACACTCCACCGACACCACCCTCTTTGGCTTCACAGTCGAAGCAAGCGTCCGTGAACAAGAAGAAAACGTCTCCCACATCAGCTTTCACGAGACGAGGCTGGGCATTCAACAACCGTCCCTTGACTTGAAGCATGGCGCTCACCGTTTCATCGCTCAGTACTCCACGTTTCGGAGGGCGCAGCACATGCTGACCAAGAACGTTGATCAACCGCTTGGTCGCCCGTCCAAAAAGTTGACCTTCTGCAAATCCCAAGCGGCCTTTGAGAGAAGTTGCTTCATGAGTAGTCAACCTTCGGCTCGACAGGGCGCGATCGATCTGGTTCGAGAGGTCCTGCTTCCGCTTCTCCGTGTTGCGAACCATGACTCTACCCTCTGAGGTCTCGGAAAGATCAACCATCACCCCCAGCGCGGTGATCTCGTGGCTCATGCTATCAGACTTCTCGCCACTCATGTCATATCTCCATCCCAACAGGTCCAGCAAGAGGCAGAACGACTGGTCTGTGTTCCGGGCTAAGTTGCTGGGGGCCACACAAACGTAGTCATCGAAGTAACACGTGACCATGATGCTCAAGGAGTGAGCGAGCCACTGGATCAGCCTGGCGCATCTGAGAAATCCAATCACAGACGCCTTGGCGCCGAACGGCAAAGAGTGCTGCTGAAACACCTCGGTGATCTTGAGGCTCGGGTTGTAGACGGCCAGCCGTGCCCACTTCAAAGAAGAGTCTGAGACCGCCAGCTGCCGGTATGCACTCTTCAAGTCAAAGCTTCTGCCAAGCAACTCGGGGTTCACAGACTTGACCTCGCACAGGCGCATGTACTCGGCAATCATGGCAGCGAAGCAATCCGTTCCGTCCACCGTGCACTTGCTTGCGACGTTGACGGCATCATTGACTTGGCTCTCAGAGTAGTTGTCGATGGGTCGAACTTTGCCTCCTTGAACGACTGCGAACCTCCGAGACAAACGGCCATGGGGCACCTCAGAGAGTGGAAGGCGTGAGAGCCAGCCCTTTTCCACCTCTTCGCAAGTCTTCTTCCATAGTTCTTCGTCGACCTCACTGTCGCCACTGGACTTGGTGGAATGAAAGATGGCCTCGTTGCTACTTTTGGCATGGTCGGCAAGGTCCTGGATGGACATGGTCGCTGGCTCAAAATCTCTGGGCAGAACGAGCCCTCCTCCTGCCTCGCCAACCAAATCAAACCCCTTCTCGATGAGATCCACAATGCCGGGGTCCGGGTAGTTCATGTCCTCAATGATCTCCCTGAGCAACAGGATCCTTTTTCCTTCGAGGATCTGTCTTCTATGGCTAGGCATCTTCTTGTGCAGGTCTGCTTCTTGTTTTCTGAGCTCCAGCGCTCTACGAGTCCATTTCTTGAACCATGCTGCTCTGTCGGTCACGATCTTTTCGGGCTTTTCGTTCACATTGCTACGAATGGCATTGGAGAGGTTGGAGTGCAAACTCTCGAACAAGTGCACTGGGTGCCCCCTGAGTAGCGCTTCTTTGATGAATGCTTCTTCACTCCATGGAACGCCAAATGCCACTTCAAACATGGTTGCCTTCTCACTGCTCTTCCCCCCGTCTTGGTGAGAAGGGATCTGGGAGATGCGGAGGATGCGGGCATATGCTGGCAGGGTGGCATCGTCGGCGCCAAGGGTGGTGGGCAACTTGGAGCCAACACGAAACTTTGGTGCTCTCTGGAAGTGTGCTGTTTCGACATGGCTGTAGTCTTGCATAAATGCCAGGGACTTACGAGTTTGTTTGACTGTACTTGCCCTGGCTTTCTTGTCGGGGTGTGCCGGCAGGACGGACTGCTCAAGGTCGAACTGTTTGGAGATGCTTCGGAAAACGGCCGCTGCCCAAGCTTTGCATAACTCCAACGGGTATTCAACCTCCGCAGCTGTCGCGAACCCTGTTTTTGTTCGGCCCCATGGCAAATGTTTGTGATTGCCAGCGCAGTCACAAGCCAACTCCTGCAACTCTTTGATGTCGGTGGCGATCGCAGTTCTTTTGGGTCGGCTCCCACCGTACATGCAGGCACTGAACACGACATAGATGGGCGTGAGATGCTGCAAAACCATTCTCCAAAATTTTGTCAGCCAGAAAATGGACCGCTCTGGTTGTTCTAGCGACCATCTGATGTTGTTGAAGTGGCAGAACAAAATCAAGCGACAACAGACCTCGTACACTTTGTTTGCTAGCCGAACTCGTTCTGCATCGTCTCCTGTCAGCCATGGGAGACCTTCAGGGTATGCATCATTCCTCAAGGGCTGTGGCTGATATTCGCCATCGTTGAGGTCGATCTCGCGAGCCCGAGATGCAGTACCGCAAGGGATGCCCCAGTGCGCGTAAGCACAGAGTGGATTCGACAACCAGCTCTTGGCAAGTGCTTCGCCATGTGGAGTTGTGAGGTCAACCTTGACGATGGGACACTTGGACCTTGGTTTCACGACTCGATCGACTCCATAGCTGGAGGTCAAGCCAAGCGCTCGCAGTTGGGCCGTTAGGCCACCTGTACCGGAGCAAAATTCGATGCAGAACGGCCTGGTCTCTTGTATCTCGCCACCTTGTATAGGAACTGTCTGGTGGTGGCTGCCATCATGTTCTTCTTTGTGAAACTCTGCTGATCCTCTGCTTTCGAAACTGCTTTGACAGACATCTGCAGCGGAGGATGAGATCTGTGCTCCTTGTTGATCTTCGTCAGCAGGAGAAGCTTTGCATTGAATTCTCGGGACGACATCATGCTTGGGCTCGTCCCCAGCCCACCCCTTCTGTCACTTCTTGGGGCACGAGTAGTGGGGGTGGTTGCCAAAGCACCCCTTCGTGGCACACACGTGCACGCCCTTTTCGCACGAGTCACCTGCTGCTGCCTTGTCACAACCATCGATGTTGTAGGCGAAGC